CATCAAAACAAGGAGGCATATAAATGAATTATCCTACTAAGTGTGTGATACTACCATTGTTGGCCATGATCGTACTCTAAGACGGTTAAGTCCTTTTAATTAGAGTTAGGCTCTGATACCAATTGTTGCCTAAGTATTGACTCTAGAGGGGGGTGAATAGAGTCTATGGCAAACAATGGCCAATTTTCTGGATTTGCAAATTTTATTAAAACCTTCTAACAATTATGCAATAATCAATATATAGGCATAAACAATTTATAGCATAAATGTAAAAGAGAGAAGGAAAGAAAGATTTGCAAACATTCACACGGCGATTTTAGCGAGGTTCGGAAACTCCTATTCCTCGGCTCAAGACCCCTCTTGAGACTTCCCAATCCACTATGGCACCTCCTTACGGGTGGAGAGCAAACCTTTACATGAAACAACACCTTGCTTCACCTTGCTTAGAGACAACCTTTCTTAGTCTTCTTTTGGGTCACACCAACCCTTACAAATTGAAGCTAGCTTGCTTCTTCTTTCTTAGGCCACACCAGCCCTTACAAATGAAGATCAATTTTGTTGCATACAAATATATCTCTCAAAAATTGATATACAAATATTAGCTCACAACTTTCAGCTCACTCTAGAGTATATATGAATAGATTAGAAGCTCAATACTCTATAAAATGATATGGGATGAGAGAGTATGATATAAAATGAAGAACAAAAGCTCTTTGGATGCTATATGATGATTCTATATTGTAGCAACCCTTAATCCCGAAGTCCCCTTACTCTATTTATAGAATTTCAGCATCTAATTCAAAAATAGAGCTGTTATACACACTACCCGAGAGGAAATAGCCGTTTGATTCAGATCTGGGCAAGGTTTGGTCGACCGAAATGAAACACCCTTGTGTTTCGGTCATCCGAAATGGTTTTAAGATTTGAACATCATTCTTAGTACTTTTATTTCGGTAGATCGAAATGAAACTCTTCTCTATTTCGGTAGACCAAAATGGTTTAGGTTAGCCATCATCCTCAGTACTCTTCGCTTCGGTAGACCGAAGTAAAACCCTTCTCTATTTTGGTAGACTGAAATGCCTAGTAGTGTTCTTTCATTAACTTATTTCGGTAGACCAAAATGAATTGGTCATTTATTTCGGTGGCTGAACTGGAACTGCTACTTCAGAAATTGTTCTAAGCTAACAGATGAAACAGTCTGTGTAGTCTGTATACAGGACATCTGCATATACCTTATTTCCATTGAAAACATTTAAGTAAATGTCTTTACTTTAATTTATATGTCCATTTACTTTAAGTTTACAATGTAAATAAGGAAGTACCCCCCATTTGGATTCAATAAAAAAATACTAGAAAATTGAAATCCAACTAAATCAAAATGTAGAAATTCAGTTTTGGTACAAATTTGGATTTTCGACAGTTTTGGTAAAAATGAATCCGCATGTAGACCAATGTAAACTTGGTCAAAAATTCTGATAAAATCAGTTTTGGCTAGTTTAAGTATAAAAAGTTATTATCGAGAAAAATTATTTTGAAATAATCATTATTTCAAAAATTCATTTTTCACACTTAGCCAAAAACACAATTTTTCATGACGCGCATTCTGGGGTCCTAATGTCCGTTACCAACTCATGGTAATGAAGGCTTCCATGCCTTAATTGTTGACCAATATGAATTATATGAATGATGTGCATGGTTATAGCATTTCTAGCACAAGTGATGAGTTCTTTCAAAGCTTATGCAAGCTTGAACTAACTCACTCTTTAGCAATGACTTCATGTGCAATTATATATGAATGAAGTGCATAGTCTATTGCTAATATATATGGGAACATATGAATGATGATATGATATGCATGGTCCTATAGAGATGAGCTTCAAATAGATTTATAAATACTTTGACATTGAATCATAAACACTCACCATCCTATCTACCCCTTTCTTCAAGCTTTGTCCATGATCGTGTAGGATTTTAGGTAGACTTGCTTCTTCCTTTCTTTGAGTTACTTTCTTGCTCATTGTAGTCCAAGCTATCTTTGGATGGACTTTACATTTGGTTCTTTGCAACTTCATGTCTTCTTTGTATCCATTGCTTTCCTTGATGTGATCTTGAATAATGGAATACTTGGAATGATCTTTCGTGCTTCATTGAGGTCATCCTTTGAATGTGAATAATCTATAACACTCAATGTAAACATTAGTCCTTAAACACCATTAATGGTTTGTTATCATCAAAACCTCTAGATTGTCCTTGGATGAAATCCTTAAGGTCAACAAAGATAAATGATAACCTTGGCCTTGCATTGGGGGTGGAACATACTTACTTTGGAAACCACTTTGGGGAGGGTTTGAGTCTTCCCTTTGGCTTATAATAGAAGTTTGGATGGTTCCTCCACCCTACATTATAATGAGTGCCATAGGGATTATTCCCTTGATTAACAAAAGCGGCATTCACTTGTTTATTGTGTGCACTTTGCACATGTCCATGAGGACAATTAAAAGTAAAATGTAAAACACTAGAACAAGTCATGCATGATTCATTGGAAAGGTGATGAGTATGATTAGGGGAGGAAGACACTTGGTTGGCCGAATTTTGATTGATCAAAAATTGATCAAACCTTTGAGGTAAGGACTTTTCTTTGGCAACTATATCATTAGAATAGTCAACTTGATATAAGCCGACATTCTTCATTCCACTTACATTTCTACCATTTTTAGATGATAAAGATCGATGCATTGAATTCTCACTCATGCTCTCATATAAGTGCCACACATCATCTTCATGCCTATCAAGATAAGAACCACCCATAGAAGCATCAACCATACCTTTATAGTTGTCCGACAAACTTTCAAAGAAGAATTAAACTAATTGCCATTTAGGGATGTCATAGTGTGGACATTTCCTAAGCAAATCGTTCAATCGCTCCCATACCTTATGAAATAATTCCCCATCCCCTTGTGAGAATTCACGAATTGAAGTTCTCATTGAATTGGTCTTTGACACCGTATAGTACTTTTTCAAGAACTCTTATTACATCTCTGCCCAAGAAGTTATAGAAAAAGGCCTCAAATTATTAAACCAGTATTTTGCTTTATCTTTAAGGGTGAAAGGGAAGAGTTTAACCTCAAAATTTCTTCCGGCATGTCCGTGTATTTCATAGTGGAACACACTTCAAGAAACTCATCCAAATGCTTATAAGGTTCTTCACTTGGTAGCCCATGGTAATTGGGAAGCATTTGAATTGTTTGTGATTTAATCTCATAATGGTGTGCTCTAAATAGAGGAAATTGAATACATGTTGGTGCATTATACTCATTTGGCACATAATGGTCTCTTAAAGCAAGGGGAGGATTTACAACCGGTGGCTCTACACGAGCATCGTGATTTGCTTGAACAACGGGAGGTGGAGGTGGAACAAAAAATGGCCGAGGCATATCCAATGGAACTTGGCCTTGTTATTGTGGAATGAAGGGTCTAGGCATGCCTAATGGTACTTGCATGTTATCATGTTGATAATGCACATTAGGGTGAAAAATGTCTTGTTGGTCGATGTGACCAAGGTCCTCAACATGGTTCTTATTATGTTCCTCCATTGATGAAATGGAGTCACTTGAATTACCCCTTTCCCTAGGATTACGAACAATGGATTTAAGGTTAAAATTCAATAGGATAAGAGTAGGATTCAAAGACCAACGACCATGCATGCATAATCAAAACAAACAACAAATCAACAACAAGCAAATAGCAAAGCCTTCTCCTTCGCAACAAATCAATCAACAAACCTCCACATACATTGATCCCATATTCCCATACTTTCAACAACATGCAAGAAATTAATTGCCTCCTCGCGGGCCGACGATGTAACTAAGTAAAAGAGTTAGAAAAGCTCACAAAGGGTCCTTAAGCAACTTCAAATTATTTTCAATTCTTGCCTTGCTTTGCTTTTCAAAAAGAAATTATTTTTGGCTTTAGCTTTTTTATGTTTTTGTTTTTGCTTAGCTTAGCTTGCTTCTCTACTTTAGAATCCTTTTGCTTCACTTCCCTTGGTTCAATGTACTTAACCAATCAAGAATAAACACAATAAGTAAACAAAATAAAATGAAATAAAAACAAGATCAAAGGAGTACTAATTCCTAATTAATTCCAAAATATGGCATTGCCAAATCCCTGCCAATGGCGCCAAAATTTGATAAGCCTCTTTCTATGTGTTTAGAAAATGAACTTTGTAATGCGAGAGGTCGCTTCGCAAGGTCAAAATATGATTGTGGTTTTGGAAGCATTTCTAGTCAAATTTACATTTATAAAAACCACTACTACAACCAATGAAGCATAGCGAGTAGGGATCATCTGCAGGGATTATACGTGTTGGAATTTAACTTCGACTCTAATGTACCAAATGATTGTAAAGGAGGGTTGGTTGGTTGATTACTCTAGAAAACAATTAATTAAAATGCAATTAAAATAAACTTAGTTGAGATAGGGATTTAAGAGATGAGAAGTGAGGTCTTGGAGTCCATTGGAATTGCCATTAAGCTTGTTCACCAAACCACACACTTTCAACTAATTTGGAGAAAATCTTCTTATGAACAAAATGCGACTACCAATTGCAATATTAAGCATGGACCATCCAATTCATGGATGAATTGTCTACTTAAACTAAGTGTAGCACAACCCATCAATTCTAAGCATGACCCATCAAACTAGTCACAATTGTAGCACACATCAATCTAGAGCTAGAATCATAGAATTTGCAATAATAAGCCATGGAATATCAAATCAAGTAGATGTTGTCTACCTACCTATAAGCATGAATTAAATTGTAGAACAACCCATCAAGCATAAGCATAATCCATCAAATTAATTGACAAACCCATCTAATAAAATTCATGTCTAGCCATCACTAGATTCTCAATTAACCACACATAGACATGCAATTAATATAGAAAAACTAATGTAAAGATCAATTCCTAAATAATTACACATAACACAACATGTAATCATGTAAAGAATCAATAGAAATAATTAATCAGTAGAAATCAAAGGAGAACCTAAGATTCATTCAATTCACAAGGCTAAAACACTAATCACAAGATATTATTCCCTAAAAAGTATAAAAGAGATAGAGGTTTAAATTACAAACTTGGGGCTCATCCAAGCTACAAGGAGAAGTCTAGTCAATCATGGAGAATGTGGATGCAATCTTGGAACCCTCAAGGGCAATCCCCAAGCATGGCTCTATCTTCTTCCTCTTCTTCTTTGTTGAATTCAAGATAGAGAGTGTGTGTAGATTTTGAGATGTGTTCTTGGTGCCTCCACTCTTCTCTTTTTTTCTAACCCTAATCTCTAAATTTTCTAAAGAGAGAAAATAAAAATTACAATGAATATAAAATTGAAGATAAAAGATCTTTTACAAAATGGTTCAATTCCCTTTAAATACAAGGTCCTTGGAGTAGTGAATAAGTTAGAAAATAAGCCCTTAAAATATCTAATCCCGTAACTATGCGGTAGGTAAAGTTTGGGCACGCAGGAATAAATCGATCGATCGAAAAATTCTCGATCCATCCAAAAATTTAGCATTTTTGATCTTTTTTCGAATTTTTCTGGAGTCTTCTCGGAACTTTTGCTTAACTCTAAAAAGGCTGTAATGGACCATTTTTAGCCCGTTTTAACCTTATTGACCTAAAATAGACAAAAATACAAATAAGTATTAAAACGGGAAAATAAAGATAAATGAATGGACTAAAATACCCGAACTTAAGTGGTAAAATGCTTCACATTTGAGTACTCATCACAACTTAGCAAAAACTATTCCCAAGCATGATTCACCTTATATGTATATTTAGAAAAGTATATATGAATATATATATATATATATATATATATATATATACACACGCGTGCATTATATATATAAGAAAACTCAATCTTAATATATCATATATATATTTTTCGTGAAAAGTATTTTTTCACAAATATATAATAAATTAAATAAATAAATATACCATAACTTTTACCTCGCAACAAATTGCATATAAACCTGTATAACTTGCATGCATTATTGCTTGGCATGCATTATTGCTTGGCAAACGAATCAATAATATTACAATAATTTTTCATATTGATTTAACTAGTCTTAGGATCCGTTTACTAACGTTTTCACTTTCTTATTTTTACTTTCTTTAAAAATAAAATCATACTTTTAATTTTTAAAAGTGAAATAGAAAGTGAAATAATGTTTAGTAATATCTCAAATTTATTAAAATTTTGAAAGTAAAATAACAAAATAAAATTTAATAATTATTATTTTGCTTTTGTTTTTAATCATCACCTGCATACCCATACCCAGTTCTATCATCTATCCAATCCCACCGTCCCTAGTTCATATTCAGGTTCGCATCCACCACCACCTCCCATCATAGGTTTCAAACATCAACAATCTCACCACAAACCTATTTCGATCAAAAAAAAAAAAAAAAAAAAATCTGTTACAGTTCCAATTGAACCAGCAGAGATGAAACCACTTCATCTTCTCCCTTCACGTGAACCAGCATAGATGAAACCATTTCATCTTCTCCCTTCACGATTCCCTGATCCGACCTGGTCTGGTGTCCCAGTAATGTTCAAAAAGTACCAAAAAACATGATCTTGTACTTTTCGAATTGGGTACCCATCCAAAAAGCACAAGGATGAACCTGTCATGTCCTGAAGGTTGTATTCGTTGTTGTTGTGTGCCTAGCTCTTTGATTTTGTGATAAGGATTTAAGGGTAAGAAAACAGGGAGGAAGAGAGGGGATTTTGTCCTGAGGATGAGAGAGATAAAAAAATCAAATCTGTGGAAAAGATAACTTACCTAAGTCTCATCGCCGATACGGTGGTCGCCGGTGATGCCGATGAGAGATAAAAAAAAAAATCAAATCGGAGGACAAGATCGATGCTGATGATGCGGTTGAACAATAGTTAGGTTTTGGATCGATGAGAAGACGCTTCTGAGATGGAGAATCAGAGGGAATTGAATCGGAAGCTGCTTCATCGATGGATTTTTTTGATCATCGTGCGCTTCGTTGTCTCTCATCGTGTGTGTGGCCAGCTTTGCAGAGAATTTTCTAGGGTTTATGGATCCCCTCCGTCGCCGATTGCCGGTCACTGATCACCCGAACCCAAAATTGCAGTGGCGTGGCGTCGGTCTTCTGATGGGATAAGTAGAGGAAGAAAGAGGGATTTGGTGGAATAAGTAGCTACAGTATAGAAAGCAATTTCTCTCTACAGTATAGAAATCAGAGAAAGTGTCAAATTGGCACTTTCTTTTTTCTTCACAAATAGAGAAAGTACTATTTTACTGTTGAAAAGTAGAATTACTTTATTAAACATGATTTTAACTTTTGATTCTTATTTTAGGAATTGACAATCAAGTATTAATTCCTATTGCTAAACAGCCCTTAAGAAATGAGCGTTATAAATTAAATTTAAATTTATTGTGGATAGATGTAACTATTTAGATAGTGACCTTGGAAATAAGGGTCACATTAGTTCAGAAGGTGACTTTTGAGTTTTAAACCTTTGGTACTCTATAAATAGTACTTGCTCAAATCCTTTATTAGTCTAAATTAGAAACAATTTCGTAAAGTGTTCAGAAAATCTCTTCAATATAGTTAACTGTAGTATTCCAGTGAGGCAGTGATTTTGTTATATCCAAAAGATGTACTGTCATAACGAATTATTTCCACATTGCAAGAAGGATGCAAACGCATACATTGAAAAAAAAGGGTTCAGATTACGAATAGATCAAAATGTTAGTTTCCATTGACTTAAATAGTACATGGAAATTTATATAAACAAAAACAACTGCATGATATTTTAAGAGAAACTTTAAAAACAGTGTTATGCTGTACATATATGATGCAAAAGTAGATGCTTATTTATCACAAGCACACCAATATATAGCATGACTGAAAAATGTGAAATTTAACCAACTCAATTACTGAGAATAAGAGTAATTGAAATTTGTTTACAACTTTTGTTTCTTATTGCACTCTTTCAGCACAAAAGAAGCACCAGAAAGAACGAAAAGTTGAACAGTCGATTTGAGATGCATAAGACAAACAAAACATAAACAGATTTTTTGAGTTCACATTCTCCTCCATAGATAATTTAAGAAGTTGTTCAAGAAATGGATAATCAGTGTAGCCAATAACAGGATCTTGTATATAGAATGTGTCTCTGTTGTAGTTGTTGAGAGGAGCATCAAGCTTGAATCTCTCTGGCAAATCCGGATTGGCCAAGAATAAACGGCCATAAGCCACAAGATCTGTGCGGTTCTCAGCCACAATGTTGTTACCATCTTCTCTCTCATAACCCCCCGCGACGATAAAGGTACCATTGAAAGCCTTTCTCATGGGCAGAAGACTATGGAGACATTCACTTTTTTCTTCTGCAGTTTTCATCCTAGGCTCAAGCATGTGACAGTAGAGAATACCATATTTACTCAATGATTCAACTATATAATGGCCTAGAGCCTCTGGGTTTGAGTCTCCTGATTCTAAGTAATTTGAGAAGGGAGAGAGCCTTATTCCCACTCTATCTGCTCCTATCTCATTACTTATAGCTTCAACTATTTCTAGAGCGAATCTGCAATGGTTCTCTACAGAGCCTCCATACTTGTCTGTACGATCATTGACTTGGTCTTTCATAAACTGGTCTATTAGGTAACCATGAGCCCCATGGATCTCAACTCCATCAAAACCTGTGTATCAAATAAACATCACTGAATCAGAATATGAAGAGTGATATAGGCTATTTATGTTTGGTATTTTAAAACATAGTCCAGGACACAGTTCAATAGATCTCCCAACAATCAATTTAGTAGTCCTAGAATACAAGTATTGATGAATTATTGAGCTTTCAAGAATCCTCCAATCAAGAAACTGTTTTAAGCTTTTCTTTGGGACACTGCCTTTCAAGTAGGTATTCTACAATTACAATATAATAACAATTGACACACAACAATAATGCATAAATACACTCCTTCACCTTTATCTCAGCATCTGTTCACCCAAATGTTACCTTAATGCTCGCTTCCCGGAAAAAAAAAATTTGGCGAACTTCAATTATTATGCACTTAACCTTAATATGTTGATAATTTTTTTCCCTTTCTTTTTTCTAATTTTTTTTTTTCATCTTTGACATGGAAATTTTTTATTCTTTTTTGTCCTCTGCAAGATTAATCATTGTGCATGGAGATATCATGTGTCATCACAAATGATTCATAAAAAGAAAAGACACCCTTCCCCTCAATTAATTAAATGCAGTAAGTTATCATGATCGCTGCCATTATTTGATGACCTCTGAAAATTCCAGATTATGCACCTTCAAAAGTGATGTAAAATACAATAGAACCAGTTAGTTGCTACTAAATGTCAATGTACGTGATGGGATCCCACAACTTACCACATAGGCACCACATAAACAGCGATTCACCATGTCATGTCACTCGGGGGGCTTCAAGGAGGTTATGGTTTTGAGGACTAAGAGAAAGTCCTAGCTGGGAGGTCCTGCCATAGAGATCTTGTCACTAAAATACTTGAAGCATGTATATCAGTCCACTGCTAGTGGTCCCATACATCTTACATCACATGGATGACTACCTCCAGTTAGCATGTTCTCACATGAGGAGGGATTGGACTTGTTAAGGAGAAGTATGTCCCTTGCTTTAAGAGCGAAAATGCATTAGTCAAGTGTCTCCATCTCCCTGATTGTCCTTCACATATCAATAGGCGACTGATGTGGTAGTGTATACGGCCACCACAATTAACGGAAAAAAGAGTCCTCTCTAAACTCACTTTATAGATGGGGACTTCCCTGTCTCTCACTTATCTCCTTCCTCTCTTCATCATCTGACCACTCTATGGATCCTCTCGGAGAGATACCATTTGTTCATTACTTGATACACTCTACATGCCATCTCACCTGAGAATATTCTCCTATGATTCATTAGTCCCTGTGTTTGGCCAAACTGCTTGGGCACATACACTAGCTCTGAATTGCACAATGCTGAATGATTGTAGAGTATGGTATGGATAAGCAACCTAGAGGTAGGTGAATAGGTTCAATTGCTCTTTTATCCTATTTTTGCTCAAATTAAATTTACCGAAATAAAAGTAAACTAAATCACCCACAAAGCAAAAACTTAAAGTGCAAGAAACATAAAAAGTAGAGTTAAAGTGACACTGGGTTTTTAGCGAGGAAACCTAGTTCGGAAAAACCTCAGAGACTATCATACGGTCTCGAGCGAAAAGATCCACTATAGTTAAAGCAAAGTACAATGAATTTCGACTCATACTCACACCCCTTCACTCTACTAAGAACTAATTGTTAAACTTCTTCGGCTTTGTGACTCCCCCGTCCAACAGCACTTGAATTTAGACTTGCTCCTTTATCCCTATAGAAGGATTGTTGGTAGATCAACAAGCATTCCATGAATGCCTTGATCCCTTCAAAGTGTGATATCTTCCTCCTTTTCTTCAAATCTAAATTTTTGAAGTAGAAAGACAATACTGCTCTGATGATCGGTAGCAAAACTTCTTCGATGAACACAAAATCTGATCATAGAGAGAAACACAACCTAAATCACTCGTGTGTTTAGTATGTGTGTTCTCAGAGTAAAAAATAAGTAAACTTTGCAAAATCTCTCAAAGGCTCTCTTAGGGTTTGAAAACTTGAATATTGAAAGCCGTAATGATTTTGAGAATATAAGATATATATATATATATAGAGAGAGAGAGAGAGGGAGAGAGAGAGAACCTTAAAAGCCTTTGGAAATGATTTTTAGCAATTTTGTGTAAAGATTTTCTTTTAAAACCCAATTAGAAAAGAAATCAAATTGGTCTTTAAAAGAACTTTTCTTTTTGGTTCGAACAAACACAACCAGTTGCGTTTTTACTGAGAGCTATTTTCTCACCTGATAAAAACACAATTGATTCCAATTCCAACCTTGAGACTCAAAATAAAACAAAGATTACAACTCGATCAAACTTGTTTTGACACCAAAATATGCCAATTTCATGATTCATACTTCACACCAGCTACCGTCCATCACCAACTACCGCCCATCACCAAATAAAGGATGAATCCTTACCTCATTTCAAGAGCTTCTGAAATGGAGGCTAACAATGAACTTGGAAATCTCCTAATTTTTCTCCATTATTGCCACTCTACTATTTTTCCGAAGGCTACAATTCGGTTAAACTATAGCCCACTAGCTTTGGGACCTCCATTATCCTGTGTGTGAAAGCTTCATCTCCATCTCCATCACCAAAAACATTTACATTTTTGGCACCTCCATTCAAGAAGTCAGCCACAGTTTGATGACTCCATTGAGGGCATTGTGATTCATGAAACACATTCTCCTCTTTACTATTTAGTTTAAAACCTTTTTTTATGAACCACATTTTATCGTGAGAGTTTGGCTAAAAAAAATCAGCTGCATTGAGCAATCTTTAATACTCCCTCTGTCTCACAAAAAATGCCCTTTTTGGGAATCTATCATTTTTAAGAGTAGTACTTTTTAATTTTTTTTTTTATTGTAGTGGTAGGGAATGAATTTTTAAATATACCTTTCTATGGTGGGTCCATATGCTTCTATAACTTCAAGGCAAGGATGGTAAATTAGGATTATTAAAAAAAGTACTCCCCCTATCCCATAATAGATGTCCGTTTTGGGAGTAGAACTTTTTAAGGGGACATGCAATTAATGCATTGTCCCCTTTCAAAATTACTATACTATCCATTTAAGTGTGATTACATAAATAATCAAGTTTGAAGTGTTTAAAAACTTCAAAATTATTTACGCAACGATGTGAAATATATTGTGCGAATTTAGTAAGTGGACAAGTATTTTGGAGCAGCTCAAAAAGGAAATATGGACAACTAAAATGGGACCGAGGGAGTAGTACATTGGATTTTGAATTGGGACAGCTAAAAAATAGAAAGGTAAACACTTTTTATGAGACAGAGGGAGTACCAAGGTAAAGGTCCAAGCTGGTAAAGGGTAGTCACACCTTACAATACCTGAAAATGTGGTGTCCCACAAGGGTTGAGGCAGGATTTCAATTCCCTTGCAGGGGGGGGGGCGCCCCCTCGTGCCTCAGGAAGCATCATGTCTAAGGTTTGATTTATCTTGGGTGTAAACAATTCCTTGGAGGGGGTGTATCAGTACCAACAAGGGGAAAGAAAAAAAAATCACACCCAAGGCCCAAAATTGCCATCTCCTTCTTGACTCGTTTACTTCAATCGTGGTCTGGGCTCCTTAGGCTTTGTGTTATCCTATTATGGTTATATTTGTCCTGCTTTCCTAAGAACATGCATTATGCTTTCCACCCACTTTAGCGAGCAAGTAGTGTGACTACATAGTACAGACATAGTCTATATTCACCTAGCTTGCTAGTTAACTATGTCCTCATTATGAGCTGATCAAAAGGCCTATATCTGAATGTATCATCCTACTACCATAAGTTAGCCCTTCATGGCAAGCGTCATTAAAAGTTTAATAAGAATGGGATTCACCTAGGGAACATAAATGCTCTCATTGGCAGAAGAATTCACCAGTGAAAGGTTATAACCTCAACATAGGAGCTCCTTGTATTGACTTGCTCTTAGCCTCTATAGCTCGTCACTATCAGCCTCCATATCTTATTGTCACCACAATCGCTCTGAAATGTTACCATTAGCCTCTTGTTGGCACCAAAACTTGGCAGCCATCTCAGCGATGACGTGGACCAATAAGGAGCGAATAGGTATTTTCAATATGACGTCATAAGAATCAGCCATTTGGAAATATCAGGGCAGAAAAGGAAACGACCCGTATAATTATATTGATATTTTAATTGACTACCAAGCTTACAAGGAAGTTGCTAAATTTTAGCAACTAATGGTTGACTATTTCAAATTGGGCTATTGACGTAAAGGAAGAAGGGCTAGAGTTTGGTTGAAAGGCAACTAAATTCCTATTTTATAGGAAGTTTAGTTGTGATATAAAAGGGAAGCTCCAACATAACATGCTGAATACTACAAGTGTTGACCCAGTTTAATTTTGAAGAGAGAGAAAATCAAGGAGAGATTTTCTAGCAAGAAGTTAGGAAATTAAGTTGAGAAAGAATTCTATAAATAGGAAAGTTGTAATCCTATTCCAATTCGTCCAGCACCAACCACAAAACATGAATCAAAATTCATTCAATTGACTCTACGTCATTTATCTTTATTTCTTTTGTCCAAATGGCAATTTTCATTCGAAGAATATGAGTTCCAGTAACTTACTCTTCGCTTGCAATGTTTTAATTATGCTATTTACATTATCAGTCATTTACTCCATGCAAACAGATTCAATGGCCAATCTTTGATCAAATTTGCGTCATGTCAATTTGGCCAGTTTGTTTCATTCCTTTACTTTCCATGCAATTTCCATTCTGCCAATTTTAATTATGCTATTTTAATTCAAAATGTTTTCAATCCAATGGCAATTGACTAAATTCTTGTCATTGTCTTTTGTTAGCAATTGATTAAATTCTTGCCACTGCATTTTGTTTTATTGCATTTCTTAAAGTCAATTTCAATTCAGCCGTTTACTTTTCATGCTATTTCAATTCAGCCTAAAGTGACAAAACATGAATAAAAATTCATTCAAATGACTCTACATCAATTTATCTTCAATTCTTTTGTCCAAATGGCAAATTTCATTCGAAAAATATGAGTTCCAATAACTTATCATTCTTTTTGCAATGCTTAATTATGCTATTTACAATTTATTCTTTGTTTTATGGAAACGAATTCAAATGACAAATCTTTGATTAGATTCATGTCATTTTAATTTGGCCTATTCTATTTCATTGCACCATTACTTTTCAGTCCATTTCATTTCAACCATCTTTATTTTAAAGTCAATTTAAATTCAGCCAGTTCATTTAAATTACTTTACTTTTCATTGCATTTTTACTTCTTTAAACACCTTAGATAAAAAGTCCTTGTATCAAGGCATAAAAAGAACCTTACTGGGAGTTCTTACTAGTCTCTCTCCCACACAATTGCCTGAGAGTCAGCCATCGGAAAAAGGGATAGGCTGGTGTTCGAATCAATATTTTGAGTGTTTTATACAAATACTCTGGCACTCCTGCAAGAGTCCATCGACCAGCGTAAAAGCCGTGCGAACACCTCTACAATTAAGTTATATGCTAAATACAAATGATATATTGAGGAAATTCCTATATGAGGGGACATATATCTATAGTAATGTACCAAAGACGGGGAGGTTATCGACAGAGGTGAAATTTTGGTGTTATTACTATTTGTTTTGGAATTTGGTGAGCATAAAAGCGCAACCCTTGGTCTCATCTTCATCTTTGTCTTCATTGTTGGAGGTGTTATGGTTCACACATGAAACATTCAAGAGATGTAAAGAACACTGAGGCCACTCATGCCAACCCCTTTTGCAACGCAATTGAGCTTTCCGTAATATAAGAAGCTTGAATTCTCCATCTTCTTTGATACAAGAAAGGTGACTTGATTAGAAAAGGATTTTAAAGACGGAAAGTGGAATGGAATGTAAACCCTAGGAGAGAAAAAATGCCCATTTTATACTAGCTAAAGCAAAACACTTTGGATTGTCCCTTTAGCTTGAGCTATCTCCTAAATTGCACAGCCTCCCACCAGGACATTCTCTACTACCTCGCTCTTTGACACTTAACCCCACCACAGCCGCCTTTAGACACATGCACACTAATGAATTTATTCCTGCTAGATCAAGAATGGGATCCAGGGAACTCCTTGAGCCCAGAATGTATTTTAGTGGTCATGTATCCTCAAGGCTAAAACCAAGGGCTCAACAAGGTGTATCGACAATCACAATCTATATCGGGGCTGGTCGTAGAAAGAAAGATACCAAGTGTCCACTGAGATGTGTTAGCCACATTAATGGTGCTCAACAGACATCAACTCAGTTGTTGATATTCTCAAATGATCTCTTGGTTTATCCATTTAGCCACACTCATGTCAGCTAGTTATCACTAGCTGTTCTTTACAGTCCTGTAGTCTTACAAATATGGGATAACCCCATACATGATTTCATCCTTTTCTCAAAATTGGAGGAAAAGTAACCTTGAGATTCTCTTAGATTTTCTCTATTATTGCCCCTCTCTCTCTTTTCTAAGGCTGCCTTGGTTTTCATTCTAACTTGCTCCCCTGGGACATTACTAGACCTAGAGACCCACATTTTTGCTACTAGTAGAGAAGTTATTCATGACCTACATATATTAAATACGGAGGGAAAAAAAAAAACTTGCTTCACAAAAGAATAAGACGTGCTGAACTTACAAAATTGAAAATTGAAAAAAAAAAAAAAAAAATCAGGCCGTTACAACATCAGAATATATAGAAATATGACCATACATATGATCTCACTTATTTTATTTTTTTTGGGAAGGTATGATCTCATATTTTTATTCTTGCACACTAAAGACAGACAATACAATGATCCATAACAAGTTCCGCATAAATTCTTTCTGCATTTAGTTTTAAATAAATATATTTCTGTATCTTATAGAATCAACCAATCAAATACCTTTTATCTTCCTAAAGGTGAAGTACAACTTCATATTTCATTACTATCTAATTGTAGCTTCGAAAGCTTACCAGCTTCCATAGCATTCCTTGCCGCAAGTTTAAAATCATTGACAACTTGAGAAATTTCATCTGCACTCAGGCGTCGTGGAGGTGAATATCGTGCAACATCAATGCCACTGATATGAAATTGAGCAACCAACGGCTTGTCAGTACTAGATATAGGAGCTTGCCCATTTGGCTGAAAATCTGTACGAGAAAATGGCTAAATAGGTTCAGACAATGTCAAAGAGGCCTGGAATTCAATTAAGTAGATTGTAACCACCGAGCATCAGCTTGAGTGGTATCCCCTCCACCTCTCAAAGAGGAGGTTGAGATTTCATATATAAGATCTAGGCCCTCCATCGTTTCCATAATCCTATGAAAATGAAACTGTGGCTTTATCATGTTTTCTGAAAGCATCCAACTGAAGCTTGCTAGGTCATCTAAACTTGATGCTCACAACAGAACAAAAGAAAATTAAATGAGAAGAAGAATAAGAAGATTTCACTGGCAGAAGTATCATGCCAAAGAATAAGGGCTAATGAATCTCCTGCGCCAAGTAAAGTCATGAACCTAGTTCCATGACACCTTCTAGGTTATTTCAGTAATATTGGCAGTCCAACATGGATGACCCCAATAAAATGTTTGGCATTCAAGAAATGATAGCCCTTTGAGGGGGAAGAGGTTTCTAGCCAATTTTAAGGGTAACTTAGAAAAAAAATGTGGACATAAAATTTTTGTATTGCAATTCATTATCCTTTAGACTCACCTGGAAGCCCACTTACTGACCTTTATTTATAGGAGCAACTACATAGCAAAATTAGCACTCACTGGCTTGTAAATATGCATTCACAAATCTCCATTTGTTTATCACTGTTTTCATAATATATTTTTTCAATGTGAAACAATGGCCAATTGGACTCTGTTTAAGTAAAGAAGAAGAAGATATGTTCCGTAGTTTATGGTCACTATACACCACCAACTTTTAATTATTATTACGAAATCCCTTATTCAATGTGATTGCAATTGACAATACAAAACCTTCTCCACCATTATTAATATTTCTTAAGCTAAGAACAGTTGAAAATTAGTGGCTACACGACAATTTTAATGTTGTATTTTATGAGTTATATGGATCATCCAAATTACCAACTGTGGCCAATTTCAACATGGCATGGAACAGAATATTGGTTTCCAAGGTTATATCAATGAGATTTTTGTTAGATTGGGTGATACTAATACCAAGACCTACACTCCGAATCCTAACCTTAAGGGGGTTATTTATAATTTAGAATATATTTCTTGTAAGCTTCTAAAACATGTTTACAAAATGATGTTACAGTAGAATGTTGCCTTATCATGATTATATGTAAATTGAAACTTATCTTTTAAGTTTTCTTTTCCCCTTTTTCCCTTTTTCGTTCTGGTAAAGCTTGCATTTAGCTAGCATTTTACAGGGAACTTGCAAAAACACTCATTTATTAACTATTGAGACAGGTAATCAACCAAACCAAATTTGCAAAAACGCCCATTTACCGACTATTGGGACAGGAATCAACGAAAACAAAATTTTCAAAAACACCCATTTATTGCTTGAGATACAGGAAAATATCTATTGGTAAATTTTTACATAAACCAAAAAAAAAAAAAAAAAAGAATAGTACATATTTATATATAACAATGCAACAGCTGAAAACTAGCAAGCAAAAAGTTATACCAGAAAATTCTGTTGCACAAACAAGAAAGCATTTTTTTTTTCCCAATAGGAGAAAAGAAACCTAGAAAGGTAGTTTTAAATCTGATGAATTGTTTAAGGCAGTTCAAACTTGTGAATACTAATACATCCTGTTTTGCCAAAAAAAAAAAAGCACGTTTGGAACATTTAACTTACCCTATCCTAAGTGGTGCTTGGTTAAAAGTCATCCCATGACAAGAATAAATGAGCTAAGAAGTCAAAAAAATACCTTGATTTGAAACCCTCCCCACATGCCAAATTTGGCAAAAGAAGATACCGCCTTTGTCATGCACAGCATCTACTATGGGTTTCCAGGCTTCTACTTGCTCCTTTGTCCATATACCAGGTGTATCTGGGACCCTATAGTGAAGAAAGCAAAACTACTGATGAAACTATGAAGAAAGCAATCATATTCTTATATAAGTAAGTTGTTTTTAAAATCTATGACCCCAAAGAACTCGGATAAGTAAAACTAGTGATCACCCTCGGCCTGTGTCAGAAACTACAGTGGCCTCTGATATGAGAAGGCCTCCTTTGGTGGTTCTCTGAGAGTAATACAAAATAGCATGTGGCTGAGGAACATTTCCGAAAGATCTCTGCCTAGTCAATGGTGCCAAAACGATTCTGAAAATAGTGGAGCGCAAAACAGTTACTAGGTATTGGAAATTATTGTTAAAGGAAGTAATAAACTAGAATAATTACATCTATGTAGTCCCTAAGAAGTTCAAAGTATAGTTAGGTGATTCACTGCCTCTAATTTCATTACAATAGATTGCTTAGGATTTAAATTTGAAAAATACAATACAGTATATAATTAACAAGAACAAGAAAACTTTGAGATTTTCAAGGTGTAATTATCATAAGTTCTTTTCTACATATGTCTACATGTACAGTTGTACACTAAGTATGAAAATAACATTGAATCAAGAAACCAAACTAATTAAGAGGCAGACATTAAAACATCTAGAAGATAGCGCAATCTCAGAGTCTAAATCATCCCTCTTGCAAAATGATTGCTTGACATTTGTTCTGAAAAAAAAAGAGAGAAGGAAAACGATCAAATATTAGTTTTATAAGCCACCTAAATAAGAAAATTCAAACAGAGTGCGGTCCTCTAAAAAATATTTGGAAGAGAATGCCTACTAATGAGATGCAACCTTCCAATCCATCATTTGGAGTATTTAAGGACTATGAAATGTATAAATTTTCAAATAAATATCTGATCAGTCTTCCGAGCTAGGCTGCTTTTAGCTCCATTTCATTCTGTTTCGTTTTCCTTTACTTTCTTACTGAAGCAGCGTGAACATACAATGTGGGCAACCACATAAGGGGTGGGGAATAACCACTGAATGCAATAATTTTTAGGTCCTCCAGGTACAACCATTTTGATTTCTCACCTCAAATAAATATGTTACGGGAAATGCTATGATGCTGCTACTAACTACGTCCTTACTAAGATTAATCGGCAGTAGGAACAATACGATTCCAGTGATATAAGGAGTTTTGTTCTAATTGAACAACACTTGCCTATTCACCGGTGAGTAGGAACATTCTCCTCACTACTGATGTAGCGCAATGATAGAATGAAATGTGCCCATTTTTGGATTTAAATTAAGAGCGGAAAAGTTAAAGACTTTCTTCTTCTTCTTTTTGTCTTTTACATTTTAAATTCAGAATAGACACTTATCATTGGGCCACATCAGTGGTGAGGAGGAGGATCTTCCTCGCCGGTGAGGAGGCAAGCATTTTTTCTTTCTAATTCATCATGACAGATCCACATGTTATGCAAAAATGATTGGTGTAACCAACACATTCTGTTTTGCAGATTGCCAGATTCTGCCACTACTTCCCTTATTTCTTTCCAATTCTTGGAATTATATCATGAAAAAATTCTCACCTCTTTCCTAAGTTCTTTTTTGTTTATATCCCTACATAGTTAAGTTTCACATTTCGGTAAAGAAAAGGCACTTATTTTTCCTCAGTTCAGAACAACTTATTAAATTTCACGCATTTGATAATAATGAGTTGAAAACTTTTCTTTGTGACACAGATTAACACTTGGCAAAACAAATTAATGATAGAAAAGAAAATAATTTCCGACCATAGCTGGGGAAAACATTTTCATTGGTTTTGCTACTTGAAGCTCGAAATACCAACTCAAGTTCAACCTCAGAAAACTAGAGTTGTGTTAAAACTTTAAAAGAGACAAATGGGCTGGTGTAAGTTCTTGTTCCACATTAGATCCAAATGGGGAGGGTCTTGGGCTTATAAGGATCGGGTAGGCAATACCACCTAACAGTTTAAGCTTTTGGGTCGGATGGTAAGCATCCAGTCCGTTACAAATGGTATCAAAGTAGGCCCAGTCCTTGATCCAATGTCACGCCAAGGGCCCACACGATGGGTCAAGTCCGTGTCCCGGTCCTTACCAGGTCCTCCAACCGTAGAGTGGACGGGTAGGCAAGAAGGTGGGGAGAATGTAGCTGGCCATTTCAGGAACTAGAAAAGCAAAAGTGGACGGGTAAGTAGGAAGGTCCGATGAGGGTGTTCGGAAGTTCGGGTGAGGGGTAGGTAGGAAGGTCTGACGAGGGCGTTGCGGGTTTGGATGGGGGAAATGTAGCTGGGACATTTCAGAAACTAGAAAAGCAAAACTGGACAGGTAAGCAGGAAGGTCCGACGAGGGCGTTGGGAAGTTCGTATGAGGGGAAGGTAGGAAGGTTTGATGGGGGCGTTGTGGGTTCGGATGAGGGAATGTAGCTGGTCATTTCAGCAACTAGAAAAGCGAAAGTGGAATGGGCCTTTTATAATCAAGAGTGACATGGTCTGACAAGAGCGTTGGGAAGTTCATGTGAGGGGTAGGTAGGAAGGTCCGACGAGGGCGTTGCGGGTTCGGATGGGGAAATGTAGCTGGTCATTTCAGTAACTAGCAAAAGTGGAATGGGCCTTTTATAATCAAGAGTGACATGATCTTGGGTACCTAACATATTCATAAGAACTCTTAACCCCTAAAGAAGCATTCTCATGATTGAACAACAATCCAATTTAACTAGAGTAACTTGCAAAGTCATGGAGGCCATGCAATATTAATCGCTAAAACAGCACCAGAGATAATTTAACTAGGGTATCTTGCAAACATTAGATGCTTTATTTATGTCCAAATCTAGACATAGGTTTAAATGTTTGCTTTATAAAATGACAGAACATTCATAAAAATAATATATAAATATATATGACGACAAAACATATAATCAATAGATAAATTACAAAAAAAAAAAAAGAGAACAATACGTTGGGACTTAGTTTTTAAGGTAGTCTACTCAGCCCTTGGAGAAAAACAACTTCTCATTTTTCAAAATTCTACTAACAGACTCACTAACTACACAGAATTTGCTGAATACAGGGAAGTTAATTGACAATGAATTACTAAATTTCACAAGTCAAAGAATTTGTTTACTGGATTTTCATCAAACACTTGAAGCGTAACAATTTAGATTCATGCTACAACAAATCTATACAGCAACAACAAGGCAAGAAACATGCATAAAAATAAAATTAAAAAAACCAATAATATTAGATTATATATATATATATATATATATATATATATATATATAGACACACACACACACACACACTGCATGTTATACTGTAAAACTAGAACAACAATATCAAAACGGTTGCACAAAATGAATGAATTCAAGTGGAAAAACATGGGAAATTGGTAGTGTTGATAAGATATATACCTATGTGAAAGTTGGAAGTTCCCCCGTTTGTATGGAGTGAGAAGAGGGATTTGAAGGGCATGCTCTTCCTCTTGACCTTCTTCTGCTACTACTTTCTTTTCCATTTTTTGGCTTCTATTTTCCTTCCAACACTGAAAATGAATGAATATATACAAGTACCTAAATTAAGTATTTAAAGATCAAAATCTTCTCCAACACTGACACCATACCCCCGGCATATTCAATAATGACCGCAGCACCAAGATACCATTATTGATCATTGTTTCTGTGATGGGGACTTCTTTCTTTTTTACCTTCTCGTACAGAGTGTATAGTAACTGTCAATCTAACTATTTCTGTGATGGGATTTTTTTGTCTTTTTCTTTTTGTACCGAATATTTGGTAACCCCCAATAGTAAGTAACTATTTCGTATTATTAAGAAAAATGGCTCTTAAACGCTGTCTATACTTGATAATCTGAACATTTTATTCTTGCATCAAGCCATAGCATTTTATTTTTAAAAAAGAAAATTTCATTTTTCACTTTTTAATTAAAATAATACAAAAACCATTTTAAAAAATAAAAGAAAAAGTTAGAAAATGTAATAGATTAAAAAATAAAAAGGAAAGAGAGAACATCAGCTCCAACTCAAAAGATAATGGATCAACAAGGTTGACATGAAAAGAAAAAACAAAATGATAATAATAAAAGGCGCGACCATGACACATGTTTTATTATCGATCTCAAGTTCCTTCTGAGTGCATTTTTTTGGTGTATTTATTGTTTATGCTTATCCCATTATTTTTGACAAATGAAAAGTTGACATGTGGTGAGTTCCACTCCAAATTAGTTCCAGCAACTGAAAGAGGAATGTTACCCTACAAGCAGTCCCACATAGCATATAGAGTGGAACAACTGAGATATGCCACGTGGCACTAAAGACTAGGTCAATGGTAAAGGAAATCTGTTGAGATGAGAGCCCACCATAAGAGCATATGTGGTTTATTACTACCACATGGCAAACATTTGGAAAGCCACGTGTACCTTTGACCTAGTCATCAAAAATGGCAACTCTCCTACTCTTATAACATATCCTAGTTTGTAGGAGTCACTCCAAAAATAAGGCAACCACTTGCGTTATTTAGGTGAGGAGTTTGCTAAAAATTAGCAAGTGGGCTGAATACATGATGCATTTACTAAAAAAAAAAGCTGAGGAAAACATGGGACATGTGGCATGATCCGGACCTTCTAGGTGAAAGTTCTCCACTGCTGCTGGAAACCGCCGCCTTTCTATCTGGGCAGTTACAGATCATGGGTAAAGGCTTACAAACATGCATTCAACCACTAAAGATCATTATTTATCAGTTATAGATCATGGGAGACATGATTTTACACATGTCAACATTAAGAGAAGGCTGGAAGATCATGAGACACATCGCAGTCTAAGGAAAGGCCACTTGGAAGCTACTGAAACGGCTATATTTCCAACTGCTGCAAGAAAACTCTATAAATAGAGCACTTAGGCCTAACATGCAAATCCTGCTCAATGCACACAACACGTCAATATGACATCTTTGCTATTCATGTATCTTTAATTTCCGCAATGAATTTACATTATGTCTAAATTTAGCATTTTGCTATTTCATGTATTTCTCATTCCAACAATGAATTTACATCCTTTTAAGTTGAGTCCAGTACTTTGCTATTCAATATAACATTCATTTCAGCAATGAATTCTCATAATGTTTGAGTTAAGTCCAGTACTTCCTTTCATTACTTTCCGTCAAGTAGTTTTCCTTTCTTACATTCCAGCAGTTGCACTTCAATTTCTTTAAATTCTAGCCTTGCACTTGAATACCGTCTTCATTTCCACTAGTCATAGAATTGTCCAGAAGTCCTTTTTTTCAAAGGCAAAAAGAACCTTCGAAAGTGATCATTCCAGACCTTCATACAATCGCCTAATCCCTACAATCTCTAACTAGAATATTGTTTGGATATCTACTTTGGAACAAAAGCAGTTCTTGGCACGCCCACAACACCCACACCACTATTCTACTTTCCACACCATCCGAAAAGTGAAACCAACGCCTTTTTGCGAGCCGAACATATTAGCACGCCCAGCGGGACATCTTGACAGATTGTTCAATAGCAGTGGAAGGAAGCAAGGCAAGTCTGCCCAAAACCTGCCGAAATAGAAGGGATTCAAGCCAGTGAACTTCCAATTGAAAGTTCACGATTTGCACCTGATGAAAGAGATATGGTGGAAAAGTTTGCTCAAACATTGGCAAATGGACCCATCATGGATAACATCTGCATGATAGCTATGCAACAAGTCAGGTTTGCGCAAGACTAAACAAAAGTCGCTCAAGACTTAGCAAAGGCCACTCAATAACAGGCAAAAGGGGCTCAAGACAAGCAATAGCCGCTTATTCTCAAGAGCAGAAGTTAAAAGAAATAGTGGACCGAATCTCTCATAGGTTTGAATCTATGTTAGAATAGAAGCTTGACTCAAGCTTTGGCCCCTTAGCTAAACAATTCTGAAAATACTCGACAACCGGCCTTTTAAGTCAACAGGCCGACTACATTTGTTGAAAGTAGTCCCTCTCAACAACATGCAAGTTCACTCCTTCTAAATCAACAGCAAATGCAGTCTGTTCCAATGGCACAGACTTACATTCCAGTTGCACCTATGGCTTCTCCAATGGCGCAGATGACCATTCCACAATCAGCGCCCATACTAGTCATTTAGCAAGTTCAGAACCCTCTACCTATGGTGTTTCCACATCAGACTTGGCATGATCAGCCTAGCCAACCTTGGCCATACCACATTCCTCAAGGACAATAGAATATTCCACCCGTGAACACTCAGCCAGCAGTAGTTACACTTCCAAGGCCACACATAGCCATTCCTATAGCGGTTGGGGGGCAACCTTTTCCAAGAGAACTACTTCTAGATCAAGGAGAAAGAAACCGCTCGAGGAACAACCATGTAGATGTCAACCCACTGCCAATGGTAGGTGGGGGGCATCAAGGGGTCAATCAACCTCAAGGTTGGTCGATTCCACCAGTAGTGCAACCACAACCACCACCAGTTTAGGTTCCACTTCAAGTGGAACCCAAGTATAGAACATTCCACCAGTAATAGTTCGACCACGTCCACTACAGGTGCAAGTTCCACCTCAGGTGATGTGTCTTCCACCACCAATAATCCAACCACCTCTATTTCAGGTTCCATTTATAAGCATTCAACGATTTGCAACCATGCCACCAAGGCCACCTATGGCCTTTCCAATGGTGTTTGAAGGACAACCCCCTCAAATGAAACTTCGATGAAGCAACAACTTTCTTGTATACCCAAACCCGCTTCCAGTGGTGTTTGAGGGGGGGGGGGGAGGGGGGGAAAGCATGGCTAATCAACTATTTATTTGTCCAGAAGATGTACAAATTTGTCCTCCTTGTAAACCTCCAGACCCCGGGGGGCAACAAATTGGATGAAAGAGTATCACCCTTCCATCTATGAAGACTGGAAAGCCACAGTGCTTTCAACGGGCTACATGAAGTGGCTGGTAGTTTCCTTTCCAAGTAAACCGGAAAGCTGGAAAAGAATCAAATGGCCACACATGGACATCCCAACAGCTAAGTCCAAGCATGTGAGGACCATTCATTCAAAGGAGGAAAGGCTAAATACTTGGAAAGGAGTACATTGTCCAGAGCCATGAAGTAGACTTAGCTGTATTTCCAAGATCGGCTAATTTCCTAAGTATGGAACGTTTCATTGAAAAAGGGACTACAATACGTGGTCCAGGTTCTACTCATACTAAAAATTACTCATCTTGCTTGTTTTACATACATCTCCTATTAGTAGTTAGTTTTATTTTCTAAAGTGCAATCTGAGTAGTGAAGAACAATGGAAGCTACAATAACAGCCACTATGGAAGGTTTTTGTTACATGCCAAAGCTTCCCTCAAAATATAAAATTCCACACCTTGTGATTGATTACTCCACAAGGCATGAAATTTGGGGGGCATATGTTTATCCCATTATTTTTTACAAATGGAAAGTTGACATGTGGCGAGTTCTAAGAGAACTTGCCATTCCAGATTAGTTCCAGCAACTGGCAGAGGAATGTTACCCTACAAGTAATCCCACATAGCATGTAGTGTGGAGCCACTGAGATCTGCTACGTAGCACTAAAGACCAGGTCAATGGTAAGGGAAATCTAGTGAGATGAGAGCCCACCATAAAAGTACATGTGGTTTATTACAACCACATGGCAAACATCTGGAAAGCCATGTGTACCTTTGACCTAGTCATCAAGAATGGTAACTCTCCTACTCCTATAACATCTCATAGTTTGTAGGAGTCACTCCAACAATAAAGCAACCACTTGCCTTATTTAGGTGAGGAGGTTGCTAAAAATCAACAAGTGGGCTGAAAACATGATGCATTTACCAAAGAAAGTTGAGGAAAACGTGGGACACATGGCATGATTCGGACCTTCCACTAGAAACCGCTGTTTTTCCATCTGGGCAGTTACAGATCATGGTAAAGGCTTGCAAACATGCATTTAACCGCCAAAGACCACTATTTATTAGTTGTAAATCATGGGAGAACATGATTTTACACGTGTCAACATTGAGAGAAGGCTGGAAGGTCATAGGACACTTGGCAGTCTAAAGAAAGGCCACGTGGAAGCTGCTGAAACGGCCACATTTCCAATTGCTACAAGAAAACTCTATAAATAGAGCACTTAGGCCTAACATGCAAATCCTGCTCAATGCGCACAACACATCAATACAGCATCTTTGCTATTCATGTATCTTTCATTTTTGCAATGAATTTACATTATGTCTAAATTTAGCATTTTGCTATTTCATGTATTTCTCATTCCAGCAATGAATTTACATTCTTTTACATTGAGTCCAGTACTTTGCTATTCCATATAGCATTCATTTCAACAATGAATTCTCATAATATTTGTGTTAAGTCCAGTGCTTCCTTTCAATACTTTCCGTCAAGTAGTTTTCCTTTCTTACATTCTAGCAGTTGCACTTCAATTTCTTTAAATTCCAGCCTTGCACTTTAATATCGTCTTCATTTCCACTAGTCATAGAATAGTCCAAAAGTCCTTTTTTTCAAAGGCAAAAAGAACTTTCGAATGTGGCCATTCCAGACCTTCGTATAATCGCCTGATCCCTACAATCTCCAACTAGAATATTGTTTAGATATCCACTTTGGAACGACAGCAGTTCCTGGCACGCCCGCAACACCCACACCACTATTCTACTCTCACACCATCCGGAAAGTGGAACCAACGCTTTTTCGTGAGCCGAACAATTTATATAGAATACTTTTATATAAAAGTAAATTACAAT